GCCATCAGCCCCGACGGCGAGTGGCTTGCAAGCGGCGGTGACGATGGTACTGTGCGCTTGTGGCATCTCCGTACCGGTCGTCAGGAGTGGATGGCCAAGCTTAGTCTTGATGAGGCTGTGAACGCTGTCCGCTGGCGTCCCAACAAGGAGACCTTCATCCTGGCCGCTGCTGCTGGTGAAGATCTCTTCTTTGCGGTTCCTCCCCGCGGTGCGGACGGCATCGACAAGGCCAGCCGTGACATTATCGACGCTGGTTTCGGTTACGCCACACAGAACCCTCAGCCCGCAGCTGCCGTCACCAAGGAACACCCGGGCAAGTGGGCCAGACCTGGCTCCAAGCTGGAGGCTGCCGGGGTTCTGCTCAAGGCCACCGTCAGGTCCGTCATCAAGGTGATCAACTGGCACAGACGCGGAGACTTCCTCAGCACCGTCTCCCCCAACGGCCAGCGTAGCGCAGTTGCTATTCACACCCTCTCGAAGCATCTGACTCAGGTTCCCTTCCGCAAGCTGCCCGGTCTCGCCCAGACGGCGCAGTTCCACCCCTCGCGGCCTCTCTTCTTCGTTGCGACCCAGCGCATGATCCGCTGCTACGACCTTCAAAGACAGGAGCTCGTCAAGGTCATCCAACCCGGCGCCCGCTGGATCTCGTCCTTTGATGTGCATTCTGGTGGTGACAACATCGTGGTGGGATCCTACGACAGACGTCTCCTGTGGCACGATCTCGACCTCTCCAACCGCCCGTACAAGACGATGCGCTTCCACTCGGAGGCCATCCGCGCCGTCAAGTACCACCGCAGCTTCCCCCTGTTCGCTGACGCCAGTGACGACGGCACGCTGCAAATCTTCCACGGCAAGGTCGTGACCGATCTCATGGAGAACCCGACCATTGTGCCGGTGAAGATGCTCAAGGGCCATAAGATTGTCAACAAGCTCGGTGTCCTGGACGTGGACTGGCATCCTACGGAGCCCTGGTGTGTGAGTGCCGGCGCTGACGGCACCTGTATCCTCTGGACCTGATGAGTGAGTTCATCCGTGGTTGGAGAGGATACTTGTAAGTTTTCACAAAAAGACAGCGAGGCGTTGGGAAGAACCAAAAAGAACCAAAAGAAGGATCCTTCAACAAAACTAGACAAGTTTGCTTTTTTTTTCTCCAAAATTTTGTTCATGTTAGATAATTCGGCCCCGATTTACCTACAACGCAGGATGGTGTTATTAATGGATGTCGAATTTGTACAAACCATTTTCTCAAAAATTGTGATATCTTCAACGAGACGAACCCCATAATACTCGTATCATGAAGAGACCCTTACAAAATGCAAGATGGAATTCAGTCACTTCGCGACGGAAGACGATGCCGAAGGGACCGAAGGGGCCGAAAACCCCACGGCGCCAGCGCAGGGTGTTTGGCTGCAAGTTTAATTAGGCGTTGGCTCGTGCGTCCTCGCCGTCTCATTTCTCATTGACGGAAGTTCATGTCCCTTTCTCCTTCGACGTTGGGGCCGCTCGCTCTCTTGTTGATGAAGAAGGGCTCTTGGCGGAATATGCGATGGGGAACGGGTTGTCCGCAAATTGGCAGAATTACAGTGCTCTTTTCAGGTTCCTCTTATCCAACTCTTCCCGCTCCTTCAATCTGAAACCTGCCATGCATCAAGAGGGCGTCACACCCGCGGGGGGGCAAGTCGGTCATCTTAATCCCCAGCCGTTATTGACCCTCACTCTTCTCATAATTCTCACTCCTCCTCTAGCTCCTCTCTGTTCCAATCCCCTGGCGAATCCGAACCCACGTCATGCACAGACGCCATAGCCGAAGGGTTAGCTGGAGATCGCGTATCGTATGGTGCCACGGTGCTAGGTGGGATAATAGTGGTAGAGTGGTAAGGTTATTGTAAAGCGGTGGAACACCTGGCCCCGGTTCTCGACTTCCGGGAAGAGGCACGCACTCTTCTGTGTAGGGATACAAACACGGCATGAATGATAGTGGCCCAGAACCTGCAAGGCTTACAAAGGGCCAAGGTTTCTCTGCCGTCTCTTGCGTCGGATCGCCGCTGTCATCGAACCGAGAGGAGGCGGTTTAGGCCCTGAGATGCCTTTTGCATAACGACGTAGCTTGTATCCGTAGTATGAAGCCTTCAAGACTTTTTCGCCCCCTCACCCTTCCTGCTTCAAGAACGGTTGACGTCCCATTCTTTTGGGATTTTGGACAGTTTACCTTTTCTGTCTCGCCCGTCTTCTCTCATCTCTGTTCGCCCACTTCATCCCTGGCAATCTACTCCAGGTGTGTATGGCCCATATGCTCATTTCCCTCGTGAGCACCCGATCCATCATCCCGCATCGAACGAAATCATCCTTTTCTTCTCTCTCGAATTTTCAAGGGCCGCCCGTTTCCACTTTTTCCCGTACCTTTTGTAAGAGAGATCCAGGAAACCCTGTTCCCGCTCTGTTGAATGCTTCAGGCGCGTGGGACTCTGAATTAATTAAATAAACTGCCTGCCCCGCGTAGGCGCAACGACGTTGCTAATCTTTTTCTGTCCCTCTTGTTTCTTAGTCACCGGCTCTATTTTCCAAATCTTTCGCGATCTTCCTTTCCGCAGCGTCACATTCAGTTCTGTCCCATCGTCATGGTCTCCTCGACGTCGTACGCCGCGGCCGCGGTGCTGGCCCTGTTCGCGGCCTCCGGGACGGCCCAGAACTTCACCATTGCTAATGGCCAGATCTTCACGCCTGGGCTGGTCATCTTGGACGCGCCTCAGCCGGGGACCCCGTTGGGCGGAGGTTAGTAAACTTGCCAGACACCTTTCCTAAAACTTCAGACGAAGTCTCGCAAACAACATGAATTTTGACTTTCATCGGGCCACAAATGGTCAATACTAATACCGGTTCAACTACAGATAACCTCCATGTTGCGATTGACGTCTCGACGAACGGCAAGATGCCGCTGCCGCCGTATGCCTCGGATAGTCCGACCAAGATCTTCAATGTGACCATGTTTTTGTCAAGCTACACTACTGGCCGCAACTTTACTATCTCGAACGGCACGGCGACCGCCAACAATGCCAGTTTGGGGGAGATTATGACACAGGAGCCCGGCAGCACGGTGAAGCACGTAAACTGGATATGGCCGGATTGTCTCGTCGGCAATGGTCAGCCCAGCTCCAGCTCCAGCGATCGCGGCGCATACAATGTAAGTCTGGCATTTCACCTGATCTTCATGTAATTCCGATACAGCTAGGACTAACACCAATCCCCCCCCAGATCTCCATCCGCCAAAACTTCCGCCTCAATGGTGAAGATCACTACACAATCTTTGACGTGCCCATCTCAGTCACGAACAGCATCGAGCAAAAAGACGGCCGGCCCTCATGCGACGCCCTCAACAACCCGCTCCTCACCCCCGAGCAACTCAACGCCACGGCCGCCAACTCGATCGGCGTGCTCTTCGCGCCGGGCGACTCCACCACGATTGAAGTGAAATCAGGAAGCGGCAGCGACGACGGACTCGGCGGGACGAAGCCTGAGGCGACGCCCGGTGACGGTCTCGGTGCGGGGGCGAGCTTGAGGTGGAGGGATGGAGCGTATTGGTTGAGTTTGGTGAGCATCGGCGCTGCGCTGGTAGTCTGATCGGAGGAAGAGGGAGGCTTTTTGCCAGTTTCGTTGCGGACGAGCTGGCTGGTTACATTTGTGCCCATTCATGATACCCCCAGACGCGGAAGCTGTATTAGTACATATTTCTTAATCGAATCCCCCCCGACGGGAATCATAGTTCTTGTCCGTCGGCCGTCGGATGGTGCCGAAACCGATACCGATGGGTTGTATATATAACCTTAGCACCTTATTTTTGCGCACAGATATCTCAAACGGCCGACCATTTGATATCTTCTAGAAGTTGGCAGAGGTGAAATACGATGATGGAGGGAAGCCAATTGAAGATAAGGTTAATTCTCTCCAACGAAAGTACGGATACACAAAAGTCTTCTCGTGTCGTAGAACTCAATGCAGAAACCAAAGATAGTTAAGCAAACACCAGCCGATCGCTAGCACCGGGTCTATTACGCAGTAGGAAACTCATTCCCGGGACCTTGGTGAATCCCCACTCCCACCGGGTCGGTGAGTACCCGGAGGTGAGCGTCCTAGCCATCCGGTGGCCCCATGCCGCATGCGCGACGAACTGCTTTCTGGAAAAGGCAATACGCACGCCAGGCCAGGCGACGAGCCGTTACACTTACAACTTGCATGTGGCCAACCACCCGCGCTTGTAGTGCACACCTACGGTTTACCATTCGGCTCAGCCTTTTCCTTAGTAGGCACTTGGGAGTTATGGCACGAGGAAATGTCGATCGCAAGCTCGCAACTCATGTTTCCACTACGGCCCCCCGGATTCCCCGCACTTTCTGGCCGCACTAGACCTCGGCTGCGCGTTGCATCTCCAATCTGGAAAAGAACGCCTGCACATGGTGTGGTTGTACGACTGAAGTGCGGCAAGCAATGATGGGACGGGGAAGGCGGACGGGGACTTGGATGGTCGTAGCTTCCTTTCCCACCTCGCTCCCGCCAAGCATCAAGTCGGGCTGGGAGCTATTCTGCCTCTGTCACCCGGTGCGCGACGGTTAACCCTGGCCACCTTTTTCTTACTTATGACTGTTGAAACCCCCCTCGTCATTGAAACACCCTCTAAGTACGGAGGGTTCGCATACTAATTGTGCGGTGGTGTCATGTTGAGATTGTCTTTCTTTTGACAATCCCTCCTGTCTTGGAAATCAGATACAACCCAAGCTCTAATTCAAGCTTCATTGCATCGCAACTCAGGGCTGTTGGTTGACGAATACTCACTCAACTCACCGGTGTTAGCAAAAGCCCACCTCAGAACTACCTCTCAGTCTGTCGTTTGATTCATCAACGTTTTCGAGAAACGGAAGCCTGATCCCCTGTGACACATCGCCAGCCTGTAAAGACAGACTTCCACGCCCCATCGCGAACCGCAGTAACAAAACACAAGCCCGACGATGCCTCTACACCAGGGCTTCCTCCCGCGCGAGGGCCTCACAGCCGACCCCATCTTCCGCCTCATTGCCAGGACTGCCCTGAACCCGTCCGTACTCCTCCCGCTCCTACTCCTCGCCCGCTACACCAAAAAGGGCGGCGACCTTGCCATCCTCCACCCCACGGCCTTTTCGCGCATCAAGTTCCTGGCGTACTGCGCCGTCACACGCTGGGCGAGCAGCTGGCTCTCGCGGCGCGCCCTGAACAACTGGGTCGACGACCGGTACGACTGGCGCAGGGAGATTGTCCTCGTCACGGGCGGTGCTGGTGGGATTGGTGGGCATGTTGCGCGGTTGTTGGCCGAGCACGGTGCTACTGTCGTTGTGTTGGATATCCAGGACTTGACTTTCACTGCTGGTGAGTGATCCCTTCCTCTCAGTGGAGAAATCTGTGGTGATGCCCGTTTTCTGTAGGGTTCATCGTCTAACACCCGCCGACAGCTTCCAACGTGCACTATTTCAAGTGCGACATCACTTCGACTGAGAAACTCGGAGCCGTAGCCAACGATATTCGTGCAAAGGTCGGCCACCCGACGGTGCTGATCAACAATGCCGGCGTAGCGCGTGGAAAGACGGTCCTCGACTCGACGGAACGGGATATCCGCTTTACCTTCGACGTCAACACGCTTGCGCACTACTGGACGACCAAGGAATTCCTCCCGCACATGGCAAAGATGAACCACGGCATGATTGTGACGGTTGCATCGTACGCAAGCTACCTCTGCGTCCCCAACATGGTAGGATGAACTCTCGGCGCTAATCTGACTTGTCAATACAACAAAGATGACTAACTCTCACCAGGTCGACTACGGCGCGTCCAAAGCCGCCGCCATGGCGTTCCACGAGGGCATCACGGCAGAGCTCACCACCCGGTACAACGCCCCGCGGGTGCGCACGGTACTTGTCAACCAGGGCTTCACAAAGACTCCATTGTTCACCGGCTACGAGCAGGGCGTGGAGTTTATCATCCCGGCGCTGGAGCCCGAGACCGTCGCCGACGCCGTGGTCAGACAGGTGCTCACAGGCCAGAGCGGCCACGTCGTCTTGCCCGCGTACGGCAACGTGCTGACGGCGCTGCGGGCGTTCCCGTACTGGTACCAGCACCGCATTCGGGGCGAGGCGCAGAAGCTGATGAAGAACTTTTCGGGCCGGCAGGTGGTCAAGGACGTTGAGGGGTTCTACGAGAAGAGGGAGAAGCAGGCGGAGCAGGAGAGGCCAGAGGAGAGCACCGTTTTGGTTCCGGAGCCTATTCCCGAGCCGAATGGGATTGAATGAAGATAGAGGTAAGGTTGGAGAGAGAGCGCGGGGAGAATGCTGTGGTGAAGGCTCTGGGAGTCTGTGTTTGTACTGCGTACGAAATATCTGAGGTGAAGTCAAGTCACTCTCGGATCGGGAGTTGATTAATTTCCAGTGGTCAGTCATCCTGGGTGCCCTGTCCCTGCAAACACATGAGAGCCACAGCAAGGCGTCAAGTGCTGTCACTACGCGTACGCGATTACGTGAACAAGGTCATCTACTCCGTACGCTATTTGATACTTCAGGTCTTCATCCCAACTATGCCAATGTGTGCAGAGAGTGATTCAAAATTCTCAAGTAAACTAATGAGCATCGGAGCTCCTCTATCGTCGCTGTCCAAGGTAAGTCCCCTATGAGCTCAATTGCGAATTGTGTCGAGGCGTTGAGTCGCTATTCTTATCTCAATAGAAGGCTGTCGCTTTCGTCAAAGGCCCTTCCAAATTCTATTCTCATCTTGAATCTACGGAATTCAACTCATCCTTCATCGCGTCCGGCTCGCCTTATCGTTTTCGCGTAGAGCAGATCCTCATGCACTTGCGCACCCATATTCCAGGTTCTCGTTTGACTCGTTGAAGAGACTCAGCAAAGTCCGAACCAGGGTAGGGCCAAGTCCCGTCGTCTAAAATGACGGATTCCCCGGCGTTTGCTTCTCTTCCCAGGACATCAAAAAGTTGAGATGTGATAAGATATTCGTACACCCTGCAACACGTGAATTTGCAAGTTCATATTTCCTCGCAGAGGTCTACGGATAGAGTAGAGTCTAGACCGACCTGGTCTTTTCAATGGAAAACCGGTAGTAGCGTAAGTCAAAACAAGCGAACGACAAGCAAGATGACTCGCCTACATGTCTATTCGGGGTACGGAGTAAAACACATCCAAATTATCTCCCGAACCCCTTTGCCTATCCAAACTTCGTCAATTCGAAGGTTCCCACAAATCGACTGACCTTGCGAATTCGATTAAGACAGAAGATAAGAGAAGGAGAAAAAAAGGAGAACCAACGATGGCGAACATGCCACCCGACGGCACAGTTCGTCTAAATCCCTCCCCTGGTCACCAGATCCGGCGTTGCCAGAATAAGACGACTGCCAACGACATCCACCACCAACAGTCCAACACTTCCAACAACCACCCCCGTCTTTTTCTTCCTTTTTAATTCTGCTCTTTCACACTTTCCCCCGTCAGCTCGGGCCCGGTCTCTTCTTCTCGTTCGTTTCTTCTAGTTCTCAAAGCTGATCCACGGATACGGATATTTTGACAAGATCCGGGTTCTCGGGACCGTCCCCCATACCCATACCCATTCCCCCCTTTATTCTAGTTCGGGCTACACAACATGATCGACAACAACCCTGCTGACGTGCGGGAGTTGGGCGATGGAGTAATAGATGACGATCGGTCAGATATCCAAAGTGTAAGAGCTTTGAGTCCGTCCCTTCTCTTTCCCTTACCTTCACACCTTCCGATTGCCTTTACCTTGTGTCATTGGAAAGGGTAAGAAGAAGACCTTCAACTCAATAAGTGTGTTTTCGTATCCAGATCGTTTCATCGAGTACAAGTCTCCGGGAATCCATTCTCAACTACCGCGTGGAGAATGGGAGGACGTATCACCGGTATAAAGATGGCAGTGAGTTCCACCATAACAAGACTCTAACCTGGAGATGACCTTCGCATGGACGTGAGGCCCTGACATGATATACTAGAATACACCAAGCCCAACGATGAGCGGGAGATGGAAAGATTAGGTTCGCTCTCTCCTTCTCTGTATTTGCATGGTGTATCTCGACACCCATACTGGAGTACCCGAATCACAAACTGCTTTCTGTTTGATTAAGCTAACCCGGACGGATGTTCCACGGCCTTAGAGTTGGAAAACGAGCTATGGCTCATATCCCTCGACTTCACCTGCGGCGTCGCCCCGCCGTGCAGGATGGACAACGAGACTGCGTGCGGCAGGGTGCTCGATGTCGGTACCGGCAGCGGTATCTGGGCCGTCAACTTTGCGGATGACCATCCAGAGGCGGAGGTAAGAAAGTCTCATGTCCCCCCACCCCGCACGGGAGGGTAAGGGGTAATCCGTCACCTTCTGTACTCTCCGTCTAACATAAAGTCTTCTCTTTTGCAGGTCATTGGCATCGATCTCTCGCCGCCCCTTTGTGACTAGTATGTATTGAATCGACGTCCTTCGCTACCGGAACTTTCTCGCTCTCCTGCACTTCCTTCAGCCACGATTCTCGGGTGTTTCTAACCATGGAGTTCAAGTGTACCTCCCAATCTCAAATTCGAGATTGACGACCTCGAAGAGGAATGGACCTGGTCACGACCTTTCAACTACATCCACAGCCGCGTCATGACGGGCGCCATCAACGACTGGGACCTCTACCTCCGTAGATGTTACGAGTAAGAAGTACCCCTCCATTGCTCGACATTCAAGAAGAAACATGCAAAAACTACGCTCCCCCTTACCACGCCCTCCTGGACAGAGACTAATACAGACCCAGTAACCTCGAACCAGGCGGCTGGATAGAACTCCAAGAACTAGACGTCCACGTAACCTCAGACGATGGCACCCTAACCCCCCACCACGCCCTCTCGCACTGGTCCCGCCTTCTCGCCGCCGCCTCCCAGAAGCTCGGCAGGCCGTACATCGACCCGCGCGCCCTCGCCACCGGCGATCCGACCACGGGGCTCACCGCTGCGGGCTTCGTCGACGTGTCCGTCACGACCTTCAAGTGGCCGCTCAACGAGTGGCCCAAGAGCGCGAAACACAAGCAGCTCGGCCGGATCCAGCTCGAGAACGGGACGACGGGCATGGAGGCCTTTACTATGGCGGCGTTTACGCGCGCTTTCAAGTGGACGCCCGAGGCTGTTAATGTATTTTTGGTGGATGTGAGGAATGATTTGAGGGATAGGGATATTCATGCGTACATGCCGGCGTGAGTAGATCCTGCCCCCCCCCCCCCCCCTTCCTTTCTCCCCCTTTGCCTCTGCGTGCTGTGCTCTTGTTGAGTTGTTTGGATAGACGGACTAATTCTGTCTATAGATATTGCATTATTGGACGGAAACCTGATAAAGGGGAGTTGTTTCCATATGATAGAAGGAGAGATTATTATTAATAGGTCGTCCATGGAGCTTTGCGAGGCGAAAACCATACTTCCCTCTTTAGAATGCCGGCTCCCTATCGTTGCTAGGAGTTGAAGTGCTGCTTTGGTGTTTGAGGAGAAAGCAGGCAATAAGTTCAGTAGTCACACATTAGGATGATGATGTGCTTCTCTATTGCAAGCTGGCGATTTTAATCGAAATACGTCGAAAGATTTCTCATGCTCAGAGCTCGAATTCGTATATACGTATCTCACTCTAGGACACTCCATCAAACGGCCCATAAAAACAGTCCAGCTAGAAAAGAAAGCTGCCATGGATAACATACATGGTTAGCATTAACACGTCATCTCGCAATGTGAGAAGAAACAGAAACTCACAAGCTCAGAAACAACATTCCCTTTTGCCTCATCCTCCTGTCTTCGACGTCCCTGCCACCGGCGCTCCGGTTTCTCGGAGGCTACCTGACCCGGCTGGCTGACTTCCTTGTCTTCGGTACACTCCTCTTCAGCCGTTTCTACTGCGCCGTCAACTCATAGACTTTTCCCAGACTCGGAATGCTTCTCCCAGCTGATTTGAGAACATTGGACACGTAGACGTACCTTTTTCATCGATAGATGCACCCACGTGCTCCCAGTCCGTATCATCATAGACAGCCTTCTCTTCACGCTCCGACTTTTCCTCGTCCTTCTGTGCCACCACAGCTTGGGGGTCCTTCAACGGCATCTTTTTCTGGTTATCAGTCTTTTAGCGCGAAACTGAATCCTACAAATGAGACGGAGAAGCTTGCGTAGAGTCGAACATAAAAACCGACTCTATGATCTCACAAGATTCGCTTCCTTCTGCGGGCGGCGGGAAGGGGGATGAAAAGCCCACGACAATGTACGGACTCGTTTCGAATGTTGAGGCTGCTGCCTTGCGCCGCGCCGCTGCGTTGAGGTCGACGACATCAGTCACATGAGAGAAAGCGGCACCTTGCCATGTCCGTGACGCAACTGTCCAGTTCAGGCCTCGTTTACTGGCGGTGTTTTTGCTGAGCGTAAGCACATGCAGGTTGGCCCCGTTCTGTGCCCGAATCTGCGGCACAGCTTCCCTTGACTTTACCCATTTGGGATGTCGTTCCCTGGTGGTTTTCTACTGCGTCCATTATCGTGTCAAACGACTCTAGTGGCATTGATATACTCTCTCACTAAGGTCCATTATATTGCAATAAGAAGCTATTATGTGGTGAAGAAAATCAATAGTCCTTGGAGAAAAAGACACGTGTTTAAAAACAATTTTGCAATTATGCAGTAGAAAGAAATCTGAAATAGACACATTATGTGTATCATCCAATGCTGGTATCAACCCGATACGCCATCTACTCGTATGCACAAGAAAAACAAGAAACCAACCCACCAGATGCAAACGCCTCATTATCCATGGTCCGCGGTGCTCTAATATCTGAGAAAAAGGCCCTCCCTCACTGCTCCATGACCTCCACGATCCCCTTCCAAAAGTTACACCGATCCCTCTGCCCATCATCGACGTTCTCCATCCGGTTCTTATTCAACTCAAACACGTACCGCGACTGATTCCGTCCCCAATCGCCCCAGTCCGGCGCACCCGCGAGCTTATACGTATTGGGGTTGAGATCGCGCACAAACGAGATGACGTACTTCATCATCAGCGAGACAATGGGTTTGTTATACGTCCGGAAACTGTCGGGCGTCGGACACGCGTCGATGCCAAAGATGGCGGGCGCCTCAAACACGTGCGGGACGCCGAGGCCGGAGGCCGTGTTGTCGTTGTCCTGGACGTTGAAGCGGTAGGACCAGCTCGTCCCGGAGCGGTTGGCGGTTGCGTAGGCGTTCATGATGGTGTTGGCGGGGCAGATGAAGGTCGTCTCGCCGTAGGCTTGGCTGGTGGACGGGAACCAGACGTTGTGGTTCGGTAGTGGCGACAACAAGGGATACTTTTGCAGCATCGGGTCGGTTTCGTTCTTTGTGAGTTTGGGGTAGTTGTCTGTCATGAAGGAGACGAATTCGTCTTGGGTTGCGACGTTGGCGGCGAAAACGGATCCCTCTGAAGGAGTATGTGAGTACCTCGGTCATGATTGCAGTTGGATGACGGGACTAACCGTTACTTCCTGTCCCAAAGAGGACGGGGACTTTGATGAATGAACCTTTGTCATAGAGCCGGTACGGATAATCTTGTAGAATATCGCCATCTATACATGGAGTCCAGTAAAAGTGCGGGTTTGCCGCCCTCCCCGGAAATGGCGATGCGATATTGGCGTCCTGGATCGCTTTGATGTCTTTACCGCGCAGACAGCCCATCTGGTCCTTGTCATCTGTGCAGCCTACCTTAGCCAGCGTCTGATTGAACTGGTACTCAAGCTCCGGAACACGAGGCTGCGCGGGGAAGAAGACCGACTCGGACATGGCGCCTATGAAGAGCTTGTCGTCGCGTCCGCCGTAAGCTGCGAGGTGGAGGGCGACCGAGCCTGCTCCGGCTGAGAGGCCGTGGATGACTACATGGCTTGGGTCACCGCCAAACTGCAGTGCGTGTGAGTACGAATGAAAATGGCATGAAACATGAGAATTTACCTTTGATATATGAGTCTGAACCCATTTCATCATCAATCGCTGGTCCAAAAGTCCCACGTTCAGCTCGCCGTCTTTTCGAACCCGGTCACTCGCCAGGAATCCCCAAAGTCCGACTCTGTAGTTGAAATTTACAAAGACAACGTTTTTGCCCGAGACATCTACAACTTGGGAGCCGTTCCAATTGGGATTGGCATTTGACGTGTAACCTTAAGCAGTGTCAGATCAGAGCTTAAGAAGAGAATGACACACAAGAGCATGAACACGAGTCGACTCTCATCTCTAAATGGAGCAATGTCGTATGAGTGGAGGGGACCTTACCACCACCTTGAATGAATAACCATACAGGAAGCTTCGAGTCAGCCGTCGTGTTTGTTGGCGACCAGACGTTGGCGTATAAGCAGTCCTCGTCTTGGCCTGAAGTAGGATAAGTCACATCCGTCCCGAGACAAATGGGCCCAAACTGAGGTTCTGTCAGCGAGGTGGCACTCGATCCAACGACACGGCCCGGTGCCTTACATCGATGGCATCTGTCGTGCCCTCTTTCGGCTCAGGATCTTGAGGTGCTCTCCATCTCAAATTTCCTATCGGAGGCGCCGCATACCGCATTCCCAGAAACTGGTTCACGCCGCTCGGGAGCGAATTCCCAGAATACCTCGCGTAGCCGAGATCGACGGTGACCCTCGGCAAGTTGGCCTGTCACGCAGCGTCAGTACTCTTGTGCGACGTACCGCCAGGGAATTTTGGGGAAAAGTAGAGACATCAAATCGGACCCCATCTCGAACAGCGAGATATTCACGAATGTTGAAGTAGAGGACGACGGAGAGGGCCGCTAGGATCATGCTGGCGATGGCAACTGGCGCAGAGTATCTCCGCCAGTTGAACTTCCTCGTCTCCATGACGGGTCGAAGGAGGGGTGAACATGTTTCGAGGTCATATGGTCCCGCGGGCTGCGGCGGCGCTGCGCGATCCCACGTGAGAGCCACCGTGGGAAGCCGTCTGCTCTGCTTCGGGAGACAAGAGCCCAAAGCCGAGCGGGGGAAAGCAGCAGGAGGAGCGAGACTGCAAGTGAGTGAATGCGAGAGAATGAGGCTAAACTAGCGGCTGCTGCATGTCGTTTCCGAGGAGGGATCCGTGCCAGTCTCACAGACTCTCTGCAGCAGTGAGATGGCGCGGGTAAGACGCCGAAGATGAGTCTTGAGGGGATCGTAGATGGACCTGCGGACAGTCTCGGACGAGAAGAGGCTGTAGATGTACGGGTGTTGATCGGTTCCAAAGAGAAAGGGGTGGGCCACTTTTCGGAATGACGATTGATATCGCTGAGAACGACAATATGGAATGTGTCGAACCTTGGCGGCGCCGAGCGTGTCTTTGTTCACTTTGGCTTGGCCTACCCAACTGCTACGGCCAGGTACCCCAACTCCTCTCACCTCAGTGAAGAAGGGATCCGGGAGGTGGGAAATGCGGGTTTTCTGGGGTGATACTGCCCACCTCACGCACTACACAACTGCCATCTCCCATCTACAATTCCACGCCAGGGCCCCCATGCTGGCTGCGCGCTGCAAACTTGATAGGGGGCACGGGCTATGTCAGCGCACTGCCAAGTGGCCCATCTGCAGTGACGTCGCCAGGGCCTGTGTTCTCTGTTGGCCGGCTTGACGCAGGGCACGCAGGTGAAGCTGGCCAGGAAGGTTCTGGAAGCCAGAAAGTCCTTGTAAAGAGACCCGGCGAACCCCCCGCCAGTCTCCAGGGGACCACTGGAAACACTGGAGCGTTGTCCAACAGTCCAACAGCAGGCCGCCGGAGAGCTGGGGTTTCGCTGTTTTCGGTAACAGGACGGCAGTGGTTCACCGAGGGAGAGACATGGGCATCGTCATCTGTTTGATCGTATCGGAGCAAAACTGCCGCAAAAATACCCCGTTGCTATCTTCTGATCAGTTGCCGACTTGTCCAAGTAGTTCACGGCCACTTAGTTCATCCTGAAAAGGGAATCATGATGAAGTTTTCCAGGCTCAAACAGCACCGGTAACAGAGAGCTCCTGGCACGAACACGGCCACGCACGCGTAGGGGACTACGGTTCCTCCCTCTGCGCAGGGTGCTGCCGGCTTGGCGCTTCATCTGATAGATGAGGCTTCCCGCGTTCTCGTAGCCCGTCGACGAGCTTCTATCCTTGCGCGAGTACTGGCCGTGTTCCCCTCTGTGTGCCAAGGATCAAGACTCGAGAATTTCTTGTTGATCCTTATCCGCTGTCACAGAGCTCTTATCGCTCCCTGCTTTTTGGCGTCACTGCTCCTTATTCTGTAGCATTCAGTCGGGGTAAATATGGGCATCTTTCAAGGGACCGTTGCTTAGATGAAGCAAGAAATACTGGGGAAGGTCTCCAGCAGTCATGGACTCATGGCCCATGGAAAAACCTCGCAAGGTCCAGAAATAGCGCTGGCGAGACATTCTCAACTCCCGGGTGTCCATTCTTGTCGTATTCCGACTCGGTGCCGAGTCGTGTCCGGGTTAGGTAAGCCGGCACCTCGAAAAGGTAAAGTGAGAAAGTGAAGCCAGCTGACTTGTCTCGTGATACCGTTGGTAAGACGAATCTGCTACACTGCTTCGAGCAATATAAGATGGCATCAGGCTGTCTGTCTTACACATGGCGTCCGCTGTCTCCTTTTGACGAAGGTCTCTGAATGGCGGGTTTAGCCGTGGAGGCACCCACTCAGCATGTGGTGTTCAACCACGAAATCCAAAAATAGCATCACCCTTCGCCCGGAGGGTGTTTGGCGTCTCGCTGTGGTTGGCCGCTGTGAAGGGCTTGAAGGCTTGAAGCACCCACGACGATATATCATGCGCATCCGCATTCGGAAATTCTGCAACTTCGGCGAGTCGCTGGGCTTTCTGCGTGTTGGAGGTGGACTGTTGGAAGAGAGTTGTGTCGGGCGGTTGGGCTAAGGTAGTTGGCGGGGGCATTCCACCTTTCTAGCTGAGATGTGAAAAGGCCCATCTTTCACACTTGTAGAGTTATGTCGAGATGAGACTGGTGGCTGCTCATCAGAGACACTTGATTAATGCCTTCGGAGCTCAACTTGACACAGTTGATAGTAAGCTCTCTCCCTGCATATCGCGATTCGCAGGTTGCCGCTGAGGTT